AAGCCAGGATTATTTTGACTTAAACTGCCTTTTACTCGACTCACCTATTCTCTGACCTAAGTACTGTCCCTAGTTCCAAGGGCCACTGCCTCCTGAAATTGTCCTGAAGTGTTTCCTTGTTGGCTCAGCTTTGCACTATCTGAAAATACTTAGTATTATCTGAAAGCTTGGAAACTATAACTGTGAACCCTGTTTTCAGATCAAGACTGGCCTCAGAACAAATCCTAAAGCACATGCTGTTATTTACAGATTCTCAACTAGAGAAGATCCTCTTTTGTCTCATTTACATAAATCATTCTTACAATGCCATTGTGACTTCATTCCTTTTACATTCTCTCTAGGGTGGAACACTCTAAAAGTTTCTACACAGAGGGCTTTCTGAAAGTCTAAACGAATTATGTTCAATGTTTCATTCTTACCTACATGTATCCTCCCTAATAATTCCCATAAGTTAGGAAGGCCTGAGTTCCTCTAATAAGAACTATGAAGAAATGACTCTCTGGGTGTGTGTGTTTCTGTGTGAACATTATACTGTGGCTTACTATACCAAGCAATTGTAAGAAGTTCATCTTGATGAGGTCTATGTAGGTATAATATGGCTAAGATACTATTTTCAGGAGTAATATTTTAGGATCCAAGTATTCAATAAAAACAAAAACACAGAGAGCACTACTGGAACAAGCTAGAAAGCTGAAGAGAGGGCCTTTGTCCTAGGATTCAAGGAGTCTAAGGACCTAAACCAGCCCTCCTGGGATATAAGTATAAAGTATTATCAGCTACACAGAAACTGTCTCTGAGTAAGCTAAAAAGGGACCTCTGTGGTAATTCACAAGCTGAATATAAGCCAGATTTCACAGTTCTCTGATGCCCTCCTAGCAGGTGATATTTCTTGACTTTTGTAAAACTTTCAATAAAATAATTTTGAATATTTCAGCTTTGAGTCAACTGAGCTACAGTGATTCAAGGAAACTACCGCTTTTCCATCTTTGAATATGAGCATTGGCAGAAGCACAGAAACTCTCTAAGGCCAGAGTTATGGCGGCAGTGGCTATCAGGGAGTACATATCTGAAGTGAAAAGTAATTTATTTGTGCAGAAGCTAGGCCAAAAGGTCTTTTGTCCTGACCAATCAAGGTGTTTTTCTTCATAGTACCAGTCTTGGAAGAGTTCCTCCGGCCCCCGGTGGTCTTAGTTTGTTTTATACAAATCATATCAAATGTCTCTATATGGTATGGGTTGGCTCTGTGTTTTAGTGAGCTCAAAGATTAAGCAAGTACTTAAGAGTATAGATTCTGCAGCCATGCCACCCAGCCCCACCACATTCCAGCTGTATTTTATTTGTACTTCAGTTACATCAGCTCTGAAATGATGATAAGTGCCTGCTTTATTAGCTGTGGTGAGGATTAGTTGTATTAAACCATTTAAAGCATATAGCACAGTATCTGGCACTGTGCTCAATGAATGTTAGTTGTAGCTGCTATTGTTTTATCTTGGTTAGTGCTCAATATTGTTTACTATTATTATTATTATTATTATTATTGTTATTATTATTGTTGTTATTATTATTATTAGACTCAATCAGTCTCCAGAATATAAAAGGCAGACTCATTGATCTGACATTTACAGAATGCCTTCAAAGCTCTTATTATAGGAAAACCATGAGTGACTGAAAACTCAGCAGCTCTCCACAGCAGCAGTTGTTTATGCCAATAAATTATCCATTGTGGTCAGTTCTCCAACTTCCCTCCAAAAGTTTTACAAGCTCTCAGTTGAAAAAAACTACTTATTTGTGATAATTCTTCACATCTGACTTATCAAGGTTAACTATCCATGGCACAGTCTACAATTTTCTCTGTAGTCTCAGCCTTATCTGCCAGGAAAGACAATTTAAGAGTGAGATTGCCTTTAACAAGTAGAGAGTTTAGTTCTTCTCACCACTCCTCACTCCAGAAGTTTCACTTGTTTTTCTTTAACTGTCTGAAGGATAAACTACACTGTGATAACCATTATATGGCACTTACTAGTGAACAGAAAGTATGAAACTGTCCAGAGTTCATTTCAGAAATCGCTTTCCTATTCAACAACCTTACTTTCACCTAGGTTTGATGAAGCATTCTGACTGACCAGATATCTGGTCACATTGTTTCTTCTTTGCCTCACTCTGTCATTTCCCTCTAATGTCCTCAGGAGCAAAATAAGATAGGAGGATGGCACAGAGATATAAATATATAAAGATTGCCTATTATGACTCTCCAAAGTACTTCACTATACAGGCTACATACATTTTCTCCGTAATGCTCATGGCTGGAGAATGTATACATAATATTTACCACTTATTGAAGACAATATGTTTCAGCTACTTCATAAATACTGTCTCACTTAATCCTCATACACTAACACCCTGAAGTAGGTATCCTTATTTCCATTGTATATATGAGAAAACACAAGTCAAAGGCTGAAGCAACTTGCTTAAGGTTATATAATCAATGAGAATGTAGTAAAAAAAAAGAATAAAAAGAAATCATTGGCTTAAGAAATTATTTAACTATGTGTAAAACTTTTAAAATATTTACAATACATTATAATGCTTTCAGTTTTAAAGAATGATTAAAGTATCATTCTTTAAGGAATAAAAGAATAATATGATTAAAAATGGATGAATCTTGAGAATATCATACTAATCGAAATAAGTCAGAAAGAAAAAGTTAGGAACCATATGATTTCAGTCATATCTTACCTAATAATAGACAAGCATGCAAATTGGTGTCACTCCGCTACATCCACCAGCCAATCAGAGCAACTATGCAAATTAACCAAAGATGGTGGTTAATTTGCATGCGTAGACACCCAGAGGCCTGGGTCCCGGGAACATCATCGGCACCCAGGTCACTCCGAGGTAGGCCTTGTGTGGGTCCTGAGCAGCCTAGGAAGGGCCTGAGCCAGGGGGCTCCTGGGCAGGGCTGAGCCTGAGATAGGAGCTGGGGGTCCCCTGCCCAAACCTAAAGCCTTGGGCAGAGGCTTTAGGTTTGGGCAGGGGCAGAGCCAGTGATTGGAGGTTCTGGGGGTCACCTGCCCAGGCCTAAAGCTTTGGCCAAAGACTTTGGCCTGGGCAGGCGTCGAGCTGGTGATTGGAGGGAGCTGGAGGGCCC